TTCTTGTGTGGTTTTGAATAGTTTATTCAGTCTATCATAAACAAGATGTCTCAGGACAGCTGCTGTTGTATCTGACACCTTCCTGGATTTTGTCAAGCTCTGAATCTTCCTTTTGGTATTATGCTTCCTGTGATGACTAAAGGACAGGGACTGCTATGTCCCTCTGTCCATTCTCGCTGTGAAGTGTTATAAAAGGACATATATTTCTTGGTGTTCAATGTGAACACTAGCCAGCGCTGAGCATATTAACAGTGCATCCTGAAGTACATTTACAGGATTAAAAAATCCCACTGTAAAACTGTAAATCAAACTTTGAACTGCAGATTACTTACACCTCCTTCCAAATTAAAAAAGCACTGCTTCCTACTTAATCAAATCTTGCATTTCAGACCATGCAGTATTCCTTTCAAGGACAGTCAGTCTAGAAAAGTCATTATTAAAATCTTCATTACTCTAAAAAGATGATTTCTGAAAGCAAAGTCTCACATTTTAATGATAATCTGGGAATGGTGAATGTGAGCATCTCAGCAGGTAGACTGCTCTTGTGTTCAGTAATATAAGTTCCATTTTTGATATTGGTAGCCTAGCCAGCCAGTGAGAAAATTATCTGGGGGCTAGGTCCACCTCCCTAACCATTCTGAACTTGCGCACCAGAGATGGTGGATCAGCGATGCATGACTGCATTTCAGAGAAATCTGACGGATATTGTTCTGCAAAACTATATACAATATATGTTTGATGGAGGTATGAGGAATGAGAGAGCAGGGACCGAGGTATTTTCAAGCTCCACATATATAGTTTATATGTTCAGAAGAACTGTAGGGAGTGTCTTGTGATGATCTTTGTGCCCACCATGCAATCAGCCATATTACTTCTAAGTGACAAAATGTGTGTGAAAGGAAGAGAATGAGAGGGGTGGTATGGGGGTGGAGAGAGGTAGTCTTAATCTTCGAGTGTTGCTTTTATCTACTCTCTGTATATAAGAAAAGAAAAAAGTATGCCCAAATTCAGTTGCATTTCACCATAATGAGATACTAGGCTACAAATAGTAAGGAAGGAGAAGACACGAAACCGGGCCTTCTCAGCGGTGGCTCCTCGCCTCTGGAACAATCTCCCTCCGGCAATTCGCGCGGCCCCCACGCTGGGCACCTTTAAAACCCAATTAAAAACATGGCTGTTTATTCAGGCCTTCCCTCCAGCCAACTCTTGATTTTTTTCTTACTTTTCCTTTTTATCTTTACTGCTGTTCTTGTTTGATTATTATGTATTTGTCTATGTTTTATTATTTGATTTTATATTTGGAAGCCGCCTAGAGTGGTCCGGTGGGCCAGATAGGCGGGGTATAAATTAAATAAATAAATAAATAAATAAATAAAATAAAATAAAATTCAGATGTAATTACCTGAGGTCTTGATACTATCCATGTGTGACATCTGGAATTCATAGCCACAATAAATAATGTTGGCCTTATGAAAGGACAGACGCCATACCAAGAAAGATGGAGCTCTAATTTCCAGTTTTTGGAGGTAGAGAGAAATAGTAGAGAGATGACTGTGTCTTGCTTTTATTTGTGAGCTCTCCGAGGGCATCTCCTTGGCCCTTGTTGGAAATAGGAGTGGTGGACTAGACGAAATCTTGATTTGATTTAGGACACAGTGTTCTTATATTCTTATCTCCATTTCCTGCAATTGTGTTGATTCAGCTGCAGTGCTCTACATGACAAAGAAATACAAGGGGAGGGGGAATACACTGAATGAAAATGTCAGAAGCATGGATTTGGTGTTTTTTTCATTGTTCAGATTTTTTTCTTCAGTAGAAGAAAAATGTGTAAGTTTGGTGTTGCTGAAATGCATTGTTAGAAGATCTTTAATATCCTTAGGCCTGTTGGAGTTTATTAGCTGGAGAGAACAGAGGGCACAACATGTGGTTTGAAGGCACAGAAGTAGATGACCATCATTCTTGAATGGAATTCAGTGGTCCTGTGCTGAACAAATGGCCAGCCTGTTCGCTTAAAGTTCATTGCAAAGCAAACACACTTACTTCCTTTGTCACTTATACTTTAGTTGATGAGGAAGAAAACATGTACTCTGAAGTAATTGTCTGAGCAAGTTTACCATTGTTGTTCTTTTGAATCTGTAAGCGAATCTGTTTAAATTCAGAGGTGGTACCAGCGGTGCCTTAACTTACGAACGTCCCGACTTACGACCATTTCGAGTTACGACTAGCTCCAGCCGCAAAATTTTGCTTCGACTTGCAGCCGGAGCTTCCAGTTATGAACACAAAAAGGCAGAGGGAAAAGGAGGGAAATTCAAATTTCTAACTCTATGTGGCGAAGAGGCTGCTTCTTTGTAGCTCTTTCGCCCCAGCAGTTAGAGAGTGTGCTATTGGAGGAGGCTTGGGACTGCCTGGCTTCTGCATCTGAGCGAGAGTGTGTGTGTTTGCAGGGAGGCTTCGGGCTACTGGTAAGATAAGGTGCTGCTTTCTGCTTTTAAAAAACTGCCTGTTCTGAGTGGGCTTTGCAGAGTGGGGTTGGGCTGGGGGGGTTATGTTTCTGTGTTGCATTGTTGTTTTATAGTTCCCTAAAAGAAATAAAACAACAGAATAAAACCATAAATGGGCTTGTCAGAGAAAAACACTTTGAAAATGAGGATTTATAACACAACATCTATCTGATGAATTCTTGCAACCCGTTCGCCCCCCCAACCTACCCCCCCTAAAAAACTCCCCAGTGATGAAAGTCAAAAGATCTCATGGGATATTCCACAGTCTGGGAGTGGCCTTGTAGGCAACTTCTACCATGGTGGGAAAGTATTGTCTGGATTTTACCATTTCAGACTACTTTGAATGGTTCTCTATCTATTATAAAAGAAAAAGTGTCCCAGATTGTGAGAACTAGACACCCGAAACATGGCATGGGTACCAAAAGATCCCCGGTAGTATGCACCTAAGGTTATTATAGTTTTAACATACAGTGATTAATTTTATTTAATTAAAGCACGTTTCTATCTTTTGGGACCACATAATACCATGTTCAGTCCCTAAGTGGTAAAAATTTCTAATGAGCACATAGTTTTCCAGTGGAAACAGTTTGGAATCTACCTTAGCTACCTCATACCTTGAAATGTATTAACAATTCAGAGACACCATCAGTTTAGGAGGCTTGTGGCTATCCCAAAATAACTGGTCATGTTCAACGTACCCTCTAATTTTCATCCCCGCTGAGCAGGGCTCTGCCTCTCATGTGTGCGGCTTCACCCTTGTGTGCGCATGCGACTCTGCCCCCCGATGCGCTGGGTTCTGTTGCGACTGGAACCTAACGTGATTGCTGTGTGGAGAAGGAAGAGAGCTATGTGAAGGAAAGCAGAGTGTGTGTGTGCGCGCATGCCCAGCTTAGTGGGAACCTTGGTCATGTTGAAGTAATATGGTATACTGCAACTATGTTATATCATGCCATGGTAATTGGAGACTGGTTTAGAAAAGAAGTATTTTCTAGTAACTGTAGCACACCAGCCAGGTAAGGTTCTGGAAAGAAAGAAAACACAGTCATAAATAGCATATGTTTTAATTATATATAGTAGCTGTAAATATTTCTTTTAATTAGGTCATGCACTGGTTTCTTCTAATGCTGTCCAAGTGAGCTCTCAGTGGCAGGCATCAAAATTTCTTAGCTGTATGGAGTTATTCATATAAAGTGTTCCTTAAACAAATTAGTGCATGTAAAACTACACAGAAAAAGCATCATCTCCACTTCCAGTTATTATTCCTGCTCATGCAAAGAAATCGAACACTAATTAATTCAGAACTATTACGGAAAAATATTCAACTCGAATAGTGGGAGTTTTATTTCCTGTATATTACACCCATAAAAGTTTGCTTTATCCTTGTGGGAATTGTTTTTCCTAACAGATGGACTAAGTTTATTTTTCAAATACAAGCTTAACCATGTAGGTGCAATTATAAATGGGAACAAATATTAATTTTGTTGTGTTAGACTATATAATTGTAAGAAAAGAGTAAACAAACTTGCTGCTTTAAACCCAGGAGGGTTGCTCATATAAGCATTTTTGGTGCAGTTGCACATATTCATAAACTGTTCATGTATTTTTCTAGAGTAACTTTCTGTGAGGGAAAACGTAGTGTCTGAAATATGGTTTTCAGTAGTATAAAACCACTAACTTGCTTTAACTTCTGTACTTCACATTGTTAAACTCATATAATTCTTAAAGGACAGTGGTATCAGTCCAATGTATATATTCACTGGATCAGCATTTCTCTTAATGGGGTAGGAAAAAATATGCACCCCACCTTCCACCATACACATTACGTAAACCATAAAGTGAGTAATCCATGCATAAAGCTTCATGAGTGAGAGTTTGATATAAAAAGGAGCATAACACAAGGTTAGCCTCTGCCTGGTTTGTCTGTCTCAGGATTTTAGAACTGTTTCCTCTTTTTTTTTTCTTGCCAAAAGATCATTGGATCAAAAGTTAAGAACTGGTGATGGGTAGAACTAAAAATAAGGATGGAAGAAGCCATAGCAATAAATGTGTGGGGCCACCCTTCTCTCCCTGACATCCTTTTTTCTTTCTCCTCCTCACCGTCCAGTGAGCTACCAGGAAAGGGTTGTAGAGAACTTTTAAAATGGGATTAAACGCGGCCTCTAGCTCATACCAGCATGCCTCCTAGATTATGTTAGTTGTGTGAGGCCAAAGAGGGGTGTGCATAGACTTCTCTATCATGATAAGTCTTTGCTGGTGTTGCTTTTTGCCTTAACCTGCCCTAGCAAATGTTGCAGACCTCTGGCCTGTTGAGAAAAAACGGTGCATTTGTTGCGCCATGGCAACCAAATATGTACTGTATTGTCTTGAGACATTAATTCTTCAGAGGAGTATAGTTTTAGTGTTACTTTTTCCCTTTCAGGTATTGTTTTGAATAGAACTTCTTTGGTCTGTGTCATGGCTCATTATATACTTTTAACTGGCGTGTGCTTTTGTTTTCAGATAACCACTCTCATTAACCACAAAGATAAACTAAGACGGTCAGACAAGACTTTGAGAACAATCCAGCAAGTGGGCCAGGCTGTCAACCTGGCTGTTGCGAGATTTGTACTGGTGGGCGAAGCCATAGCCAATGAAAACCAAGAGTTGAAAGAGGAAATGAAAATTGCCTGCATAGAAGCAAAGCAAGCCGGTAGGTAGTTGTTTAGAGAATGTGAGTAGCTTGCCATTGTGTTTGTTTAAAGATGTCCAGAAAATACAGCTTGGTCTTCACTCTGAAAGGGTGCTTCAGTGTCCGTGACTAAAGCCATTTAATGATTATTTTGTCTACAGTGGAGACTTGCAATACAATTTTTTTTTAGTATTTAAGGCAGTGTCTGAATCTTGGAAATTTCTATAGCTGGGAAGTTTCCTATTTTACTGAAATGGTATATAGTGGACCCTTGACTTAAGGAATTAATCCATATTGGAACGGTGGCTGCAGGTCAAAAAGTCTGTAGGTCAAGTCTCCATTGACCTACAGTGCATTGAAAACTGATTAATTCCGTAACAGGCCATTTTTGTTCCATTTTGGTTTTTTTCTGGTCTGTAAGTCAATTCTCAGGCTGCAAGTCAAACCTAAATTTTGCGGCCAGAGAAGTCTGTAACTCAAAAAGTCTGTAAGTCAAGCCGTCTGTAAGTCAAGGGTCCACTGTAATGCTTGCTGCTGATCACTGGCAGACAGTGCTGGGTCAATGGAAGCTTTGCCCCAAAAAACTCGTGGAATGACCCTGCCCTCAAGAGTGTCTGGTGAGTTTGTTTCAAGAAAAGGTTGTGGTTATGATATCATTAGCTCCTTGGTGCATGATCTTGACTTCTGCTTTCTCAACATTTTGTATGGATGTGGAGTACAACTATAGAACCTCCCACCCATGGAAGGCCAGGCTGGCCCCCTCTTTGTTGTCCCTCTTCAAGCAGACAAAGCCCTGTCTCTTCAGGTGGGCTTTTTCTCACTAGGAAGAAGTTCCTAAAAACAGGGTTTTGTTTTGCTTTTTTAAATCTTTTGAGTATTGTTTATTTTAATATAGAAATCCACCTTGAGCGCTCTTGGGGGGAAAGAAAGAATATGAATATTTACCTACAAACATGCATGCATACATACAAAATATACAATTCCAGACCCAGAATCCGGCCACAGAAGGACAGTCCTGCAATTCTCTCCTTTGTGCAGTTAGCAGTGTTGGAGGTCAAGTGTGTGCAGCAGGGAGCCAGATGCGGTTGTGTAGGCTCCCCTCGTCCACGTGATTCAGAGTCCTGATAATGTGTGAATCATGCAGAGAGTTCAGGTAAATACCACTGGCTGCCCATCACAGACCTTCTGCTCCAGTGAGCGAAGGGCCCCAGTGAGTAGGGCAGTGAAGTAATAGGAGGGGGCCTCAAGTACGCCCCTACCTTCCTTCTCATTGTGTAAGGAGAAGAATGACTGTCTGGGATCAATATTTTGCAGGCATGATGAGCCCTGCGTCGTTACCACTCTCTGCTTAACTGAATTGCATTACATGATGCTGTTGCATTAATGAGTTTCTCTTCTGCTGAAACAACAGTTAAGGATGCAAAGATAAGGCAGCAGTGACAGCACTGCAATCTCCAGAAACTCCAGTTTCAGGCTTGGAGACAGAAAAAAGGGTATCCTGTACCTTGTATAAGGGAATGGGACGGGATGGGGATTCAACGGCAGACTGGAATCTGAGATGTCAGGGAGGCTTGCAGTTTCTCAGAGCAGAAGGACCTGCAGGTTCTTTAGGTCTGGCTTCTCACAACCTAAAGCTAGAAAAAAAACGGGATGTTTCAGATGTCTGAAATTGTTACATTTATTATTTTTGTTGTTAATGAATAGATTGTATCACCCTGTAAGACCGTTAAGGCCAGCATCTGAAACTTCGTGAATAACATCCCTGTTCTTGGGAGCTATTTGGAACTCCGAGAAAAGTCTTGCATTTTCCCCCCACTGTGAAATTAAATCAGTGACCATTTCACAGTGTTTGGCACAGGACTGAAATAGCTTTAATAGTCATGTTTCCCTTCATTTGCAGGTGAGACAATTGCCCAGCTTACAGATGTAGCAGCCTTGGATCCTCCAGAAGCTGACAGCCAGATAACCATTTTTACAGACAAAACAGGAGTGGTAAAGGCTGCAAGGCTCTTGCTTTCTTCAGTGACTAAAGTGTTGGTGTTGGCTGACAGAATAGTTATTAAGCAGATTATAACATCTAGAAACAAGGTATTCATGGTGTTGTGATTACAGTGGTGCCTCGCAAGACAAAATTAATCCATTCCGGGGTTAATGTCGTCTTGCAATATTTTCATCTTGCGAGCTGTGGTTTCCCATAGGAATGCACTGAAATTTAATTAATGCATTCCTATGGGAATTTTTTTTAAAAAGTCACTTACCAATTAGGGAGCTGGGGAAGCACCATTAGAGGACTGGCGAGGGGTCCCTCACCCAGATCGCCACCTTAAGAGGTCCCCCGGGGCTTCCCTTGCACCATCGGAAGACTGGTGGGGGTCCCTCCGAGCGCCGAGCGGCGCTTGCAGAGGCTTTTCCAGCACCATTTTTGAAGATTGTGCCCTGTCCCCCTGCCGTCAGCAAGCCTCCGAATGGAAAAAGGAAAAAAAGAAAGCCTTTTTCCATTCGGAGCCTTACTGAAGGCCGGGGGGGAAAGAGAGCCCGAGCGCCGAGCGGCGCTTGCAGAGGCTTTTCCAGCACCATTTTTGAAGATTGTGCCCTGTCCCCCTGCCGTCAGCAAGCCTCCGAATGGAAAAAGGAAAAAAAGAAAGCCTTTTTCCATTCAGAGCCTTACTGAAGGCCGGGGGGGAAAGGGAGCGATCTTCAAAAATGTTGCTGGATAAGCCTCTGCAAGCGCCACTCGGAGGGACCCCCCGCTAGTCTTCTGATGGTGCATTTGTAAAAAAATTTACACAAACACACCTTTTATACCTGCCAGTCTGAATCCTGTGGGCACTCCAAGGTAGTTAGATCTTTGCTGCACACATCAAAGGACAAATTAGAGGATAGTTCTTAAAAAAAGAAGAGACTCAGCATAATTGCCAAAGCAAAAGATAGTTTGCCCCAAGCAATTGCAAAATAAAATAAAATGAAATTAGCTATGCCATCCCTTCTCAGAATGGAGAAGTACTTAATTTGGCTTGATCATATATAATAGAACCATTACTGGAGCAATATTAAGTAATCCTTTCACGTATTACCACTGTCCAGAGAAGTGTAGGATTGGATTATACCCTGCTATTACATTTTGAGTTGAATAGCCAAATGATGTAGAAGACAATATAATTGGCTCTAAAATGCATAACATATATTAATGTTTTTGTGGCATTCTTAAGCCTTTTTTTTGTCAACGATCATATATATCTAGGTTTATTCAATATATTTGGCAGGTCCTTGTAACAATGGAACAGCTGGAAAAAGTGAGTAGTTTTCAAGAGTTTGTGCAAATATTCAGTCAGTTTGGAAATGAAATGGTGGAATTTGCTCATCTAACTGGAGACCGGCAAAATGTAAGTGTCAAGAAACTTTCTGTTTGTTTTATGGTTTAGAAATATTTCATGTGCAGTCGGTTAATGCAAACATTTGTGTTCTTCTCAAATCAGCCTTCATTTGGGAAGAACATCCCTCTGCATTTTGTTTTCTTTTGCAATTTCACAACCTTCTGTAAGTTACACAGACAAGCAACTTAGCAAATATTTTGAAGTAATGCAACTGTTTTTCTCTAGCAATTGTACTTAATAGTTACACAGAACCATCAAGCTCGGAAAAGGCAAAGTACTTCTGAATATTCTGATTGCAAATGCAGGCCTCTTCCAGATGGACTGTGCATATCCCCCTAAGTTACCCATCAAGCATTGATCAAGAGGAAAATTCTCCTGACATCCAGAGGGTCTTCTTCTCTCAGCTTGTAGCACCTTTCTAATGAGGTTCTGGACCTTTTTGACCCTTCATTTATTTTTCGCATCACTTTCTTCCAAGGGTGTGGTTGGCATAGCATTTGCTGCGGATGTCTATGGAGGAAGCCTCCCAGTGAGAGGCTTTCAATTATGCTTTAATGTAGAAAGCTCATTGATGTAATGGGCTGATGGAAGCAAGGCAGTTCTCCAGACAGGCAAAAGTCTGTTAAGGAAAGCTTATTGGCTTGCAGGTTAGCTCTGTAGCATCTCCATTCTGGTGGATAGCAGTTTGTATAGAAGAACTCTGCCTTCCACTGGTTAGGCAAGACGGAACAAAATATTTCCCACGCGGGGAGTTGAACTTGCATAGCTTACAGGAATTTAAACTGCAAAACATCAGGCTGCTGCCGGTTTTGCATTTATTTATTTGTTTTATTAATTTCTTTTCTATACCACCCTTTAGCTCAGGCTTTCTGGGCCATTCATAAAAACAGACTTAAAGCTGTGGAGTGCAAAAGTGTGGACAAAAGCAATACAGAAATATTTAGAAGTTTAAATCAATAGAATAAAATAAATATTAAATACAGTGGTGCCTCGCATAACAATGTTAATTGGTTCCATTAAAAACATCGTTGTGTGAAAACATCGTTAAGCGAAACACCATTTCCCATAGGAATGCATTGAAAACCAGTTAATCCGTTCCAATAGGAGCCTATTCAGTACATTTCAATGGTGAAAAAAAATCACCAAAAATTCAAAAAGACTCAGAACGAAACCAAATTACTTTAACGAAGGTTTTATTAGGTGCACTAACGATTCCAAGCATTTTAAACATTTTTAAAACATTTTAGAATATTTTTAAAATAGCGAAAACAGGGCTGC